CGGCCCCGGGTCATGCAACTGGGCGACCGCCCGCGACAAGTTCGCGAACCGCGGGGAAGGAAAAGGTGCCCCGATCATGGGGAAGGGAAAATATTAACGCAAACCAGGGAGCTACAAGTCGCGCTGCGAGCTCGCACCAGTTCTGGGCGCGGCAGTAGAACCCCTCCCACGCACCGCCGTCTCCACAACGTCCTGCTCGCACCAGCGGGCTCCTCGCTCTCCCCTGGGCACGCGTCTGTCAATCACCCCGGCCAGGGTTGCCTGCCGTCGCGCGCAGCCGTCGCTGCGTTCCCCTCCCACGGGCGCCGGCCCCCTGCCGGCCACTCGCCGACGGGCCCGAGCTCGGGCCCCTTCCGCCTCGCCCGCCCGCCCCCGCGCCCACCCCGCGGGAGGCGGCCCCCCGGGGGCCCGCCCTGGTTTCGCGCCCAAAGCCGCCCGGGGCGCGCCCAGCTGGGGCTGCTGGCGCGCCCCTTGCTCCCAGGAGGCCCTTTCTCCGGGGCCCCTTTGGGGCCCTTCGCCCCCTGGCGTTGCGCCGCCCCCCGCGGCCCGCCTCAGGCGCCGCCTAGGGGGCCTCGGATGTCCTCCTCGCCTCCGGCTGGGAGGTCATTGGAGCGCCCGCCACGTCGCCGCAACTCCAATTTTCCATGACGCGTGCCCAGTCGCCGGGCCCGTCCGCGCGCTCGGGCTCCTCCTTTGCCGTTCAGCGCCCTGGCTCTCCGCGGGACGTCGTTGGCCTGGCAGGCGCTGCTGTCTTGGTTCCGCCCTAGCGCGAGAGGCCGACGGGCCCCCCCCCCCCAGCCCGCAACGCTGACCTCCGCACGCCCGTCTTCAGTTCCTTTCGCGCACGCCCTGCGACCGTTAGTCGGGCTCGCCGCTCCCGTCCTCCGTGCTCCGCCTTTACCAAATAATGCGACCGTTCGTCGCTTTCCGTTCGCTCGTGTCCCTTCACCCCGCGGGCGGCCACCCTGTTGGCCGCCGTGGCCTCGCGCCCAATGCCGCCCGGCGAGCTGCGCATTTCCTCAACTGACCCTCCAGCCCGTGGCAGCGACGCACGGAAGGATGCGCCCCATATGGCGCCGCCCTCCCCTGCGACAGCGCGAGCCCCAGCGCCGAGGAGCGGCGGCGCTGGCCAGCGCGCTCCGCTGGCGCGTCCGCCTGGAAGCGGCCGGGCGCCAGGCCTGGCCGCGAGATCCGGCGATCCTCCAGCCCCCTCGCCGCCCGCGGGGCGGAACCTGCTGCCCGGCAACGTCGACGGTCCGGCGGGGTTTGACAGGCGACAGACAGGCGGCGAGCACGGCGGCAGCTGCAGCAGCGTCGTCTAGAACCAGCGAGCCGCCACGCCCGACGGGGGCGGGTGGCGCGCCGCCCGCCGGCGGCCTGAATCCTGGATCCCGACGCGGGGAAGCAGCTTTACAATGGCAAGATCGAAGGCGCGCAGCGCGGCGTTTACGGGGGGGGGCCGGGCAAATATATCAAGCGACTCCAAGCTACCCTGGGGGCGATGTTCACGAGCGCCCAGCACGCGTTCGTCCAGAAGCACGCTTCGCCCGGCTCCAGAGCAGCGCTCGACCCGCTGCGGCACGACCAGCAAACGCGCGTCAGCTTCTTGGACTCCTTCCGCCACCGCAAAGGGGGCGCGCGGTTCATGGGCGACGCGCCGCACCTCGGGGCCGGCTGGAAACAGCTGCGCGAGCGGCGTCTGTGGCGCGGCGATCCGTCGCGGCAGCACTCCCGCGTCTGGGCCGTCTCTCCCGCGCCTGTTTCACAGCTTGCAGCCGCCCCGCGGACGGCCCAACACGAACTGCCCCTGGTCGCGCCGTGGCTCCTTGCCGACGCGAGGTGGCCCCTCTTCCTGCTCAGCACGCGCAGTCAGTCTGCCTGCGCGCGCCCCCGCCTGGGGTGCCTGGCTTGCCGGCTGGAGAGCGCGGAGCGGCCGCGGCCCGGCCGACCCCGCTTCCCCTTCGCGCGGCACCTCTCCGCCGCGTTGTCGCTGCCCGACCACGCGTTCTGCAGCCTGGGGACCTGGAGGCCGCTTGTCCCCTCGGCGTCCGCTTGGCGCGACTTCCTCGCGTCGCCCACGCTGGTCTCTCGGCGTCGTTCACGCTGCTCCTACGGGTCTGTCCGTTCGTTTCTCTATGTCTGTTTGGCCGTGGGGTTCTTGGACTTCGAGTTCGGCATGCTTACCCGGGGACTTGAACGACGGTTCCTCTCTCTCTTTTCTACTCCGCCGTTCCTGCCCGTCTCGGAGGCGCTCCCGCTGCTCCTGCTGGCTCGCTTGCTGTTCCGCGTCGCGAAGACCTTCCGGGTCCTTGGCTTCGTGTTCGGCAAGGTACTTGGTGAGCATGGTTTGGCCTCTTCCCTGTCTCTCCTGGTCACCGCCGTCCTGGGTGAGCGTGGCGCACTCGGACTCCCACCTCGCCCCCGTCATCGCGCCGGTCTTCCGCTCTGAGCCGGGCATCTCCGCTCCGCTGTTTGTTTCCTTTGCTTCGGCGCGGCCCGCCCTGGCTCGCGCGACATTCGACTCGTCTTCGCGAGCCCGCGCACCACGAGCATTCCCACCAGCCCATCCATAATCGATTCTGGAAGGGGAAGGCTGCGACGCCTAACTCCAAAAAAACTGCGCGCGCCCGAAAGGCTGGTGGAATCGCCTCCCTGACCCCGCCCCCCTCCTGACTTCCTGCGCCGGCAGGTCGGGGCGCTCCCCGTGCCCTGCCCCGCCCCCCCCCGGTACCCCCCCCCGTTTTTCGCCTCCTCCCCTCTGCGACCCCCTGCCTCCGACTTCGGCGGCGAGCGACGGGGGGGACGAGAAAAAAAAGGCCCTCTCAGAAGGCGGCGGGGCTGCTGAGAAGCCGCCCAGCCTTTTGCCTGCGCCTTCGAGGATGGCTTTCAAACTGATCAGACGGCCAGGGTCTTCGGAACCTTCCGGGACGGCGTTCTCTTTCTCAGTTCCCCCCCGCGCTCGCCGCCGAGATCCGCCCCCTCGGCAACAGACCAGCTTCAGGTCTGGCGTCGGCCGGGGCCAGGCGTGTCGGCCGGGGGCCGACGGCGCGGCTTCGCAGCGGGGTGGTGCCCGTCGAAGAGCTGTTTCTCAGCGCCGGGGCGCCCAGGGTGGTGGGCGACAGACCACCTGGGCGCCAGCGACGGGGCGCGCGCCCAGGGCGGCAGGGCAAGGAAAGGGGGCGACCGGCGCGCGGGCGGGATGTGTGAGTCACCGCTGCGTTCCTTCCGCCGTCCCGCGCTCTCGCACTCCCTCCCTGCCCTCCCCTCCTCCCTCCCCGCTCGCTCTCATCGTTCCCCTCCGTCGTTCGCTCCCTCTCCCCCTCTGCTCCCGTGCCCGCGCTCCCCGAGCGCTTTCCCGCGCTCCACCGTTCCCTCCTCAGATGCCGTCGGGGACGTCCTCGGGAACGCCCGCGAGGCGGGGACGGAGGAGGCGCCCGCCGCCCGCAGTCCCGGGGGGGGGGGGTCCGGCGGGAGGAGTCGGACGGGGGGCGGTGGTCAACGTTTGGGCCCCCGCGCGGGGCCGGAGTACATTCGAACCGAGGTATGCGATCGAGATCCGCTCGGGGAGGGTACCCTAGTGCTCTTGGTGTTCATTGGATGTTCTTGTGCATCCTGGGGAGGGTGCCCTTGGATGTTCTGTTTGTTTTAGCCGACGGAGGGCCTCATGTTATTGAAGGACGTTCTTCTGGCCCAGGTCCGATTGCAGATGAGGTCATCGCCGCTGCAGATCCCTCGAGTGTCTCCACGCCGACGGCCCCGATGCATCGCCGACGATGGACGTCCTGGAGTCTCAGTGTTGGGTTTCTTGTGGAAGGATTCTCGTGGTCGAGTTCCTACTGTATTTGGGTGTCGGGCAGTGTGCGCTGGCCGAGGGAGAGGGGGGGGTAACAGGAGCTCAGGGAGGATGAGGCACCGATGTCGCTGGCCGTCCTGGAGAGCCCTCTTCGACACGGCTGGATTCTCCTCGAGACCTTGGTCAGAGCGGACCGGCGGAGGGGGAGACGGGAGGGGGGGGTCGAGGGGCGGGGGGGCGGAGATGCGGGGGTCGGGGGGGCGGAAGGGCACGGACGCGGGGGGTACTTTGTCGAGGGAGGGGCGGGGTGGCATGGACAGGGGGCCACATGCGAACCCTACCCCGACCCCCCACGATTTCTGAGGAGGAGGGTGGGGTTCGCGTGGGGGGTAGGGGTAAGGTTCGCGTGTGGCCCCCTGATGGAGGTTCTCCCGCCCTGTGCTGGCCACCCCATAACGTTGCCCCTCATCTGCTCTGCAGTGTGCGGACGGCTTGCCCAGGAGCGCCGTCAGATCCTCCAGAATGGCTTGGCCTCGAAGACGGACATGTTGGCTGCGCTGTCCGCCCGCGCCACCAAGCTGCGCGCGGAGGACGAGGTCTCCTGCCCGCACGGCACACCCGCGCGGGCGGAGCGTGTCATTCAGAGGGTCTGCACACGGTTGGTCTAGGCCTCCCCACAAGGGGCGGAGGTTCAGTCAAGACGCTGCAACAAGGACCATTTTGGGCTGGGGGGGGGCTCCGGTTTTCGGGCCTTGCGGGAACCTCCTCGTGGCCGAGGCTCGCCGTAGCCAGAGAAGCCCCTTCGTATCTTGCCCGGCGATCCTTGTGGTAGCAAGATGGCTGCAGATGGGGTCGGAGGGTCGCGCCACGTCGCCGATGCAGCGACGATCCGGCGCGATCCCGAGCCCAATCTTCTTCGTCCCGCCGCGGCCGATGCATCGGCGATACATCGTCGATTCGGTGCGATGGTCCGACCCTACAGTGGAAGCCCATGCCAAGAAACGCCCGGCTTGCCTCCAGGGTGCCCTGGATTTCTTGGGTTTCATGTGTTGTCTTTGGACAATGAGTTTTACGGGCCTCGTCTTTCACCTCCTTCCCCCCGCCTCCATAAATGGGCGGTGTGAGGGCGTTCGTGAGGGGACGGGGGTGTCTTCAGATGAAGGTGGTGCCGTTCCGAATGTATCTCGCTTCATTTGTGTGTTCCCGTCTCAAGCTCTTTGGCTCGAGCGTTCATGCAGACGCCCGAGTCTTTTAGGATCTGTACTCCTACAGCTTCCGCTTGCAGCGATAGCTTTCGGGAGCTGATCTCGGTGCTGTCTGACGAGCGTGACTCTGGTGAGCAGGGGTATCCCACGACGGCGCGTCTGGGTTTCGCACCTCTGGCGGTATTCCTGTGGACCCTGTTCACTGCGGCGAACGACGTGGACGATCGTGGTGCGGAGGTGCCCGACTACGGTCAAATCGAGGCGCTGCTGCCGGTGGAGGCATGGAGTCGACGTTATTATCGTCAGAGCTCGACAGACGGAGTGGAGGTTTCGCTGGTGAGACGGAAGTCTGGGAATCGCTGGGCTGTCCTTGTGCCTGGCATGACGCTGGGTCTGACCACGATCGCGGCGAAGTCGAGTTTCTTTTCGGATCCGATCGAGGGTATACGCTGGAGGCCTCTCCCGCTTCTGATCGAGCATCGGACGTCATCTATAATGGCGCAGGCTACTCAGGGACTGCAGGCGGGAACTGTGCCGGAGCTGCGACAGCACGCTTTCCACTGGTGCCACGCTGTGCGCCCAGCCTGCTGGTCCCCTGGGTCCCTCCCTCCTGCCTTGTCCCGTCTGGCTCTCGGCTCCTCCTCCCTCCTCGCCCTCTCCGTGTCCTGCCCCCCCCTTGCCCCTTGTGTTTCCTTGCCCTCGTGTCTTGTGTGCTCTCCCTTCGTCCCCTCGCTTGGTTTCCCTCCCCTTCCCCGTCTCCTCGTCTGTCCGTCCGTCGACCCGGTCTGTCCTTCCCTGTCGTCCGCCCTCGCCCCCTCCCCCTCCCCCTCTCGCTCCTCGGTTCCTCGCTTTCCCGTCGGCCCCGGTTTCTTGCCTTGCCCGCGTTTCTTTGTCGGCCTGTCCTGTTGACCGAATAAGAGAGCGCTGTATTTTTCCACCTGTGCTCACGCCCACGCGCCGCCTGGTGTATGGCTTGTCTGTCTGTCTGTGGGTCCTCGCAGCAGGCTCTTGCGACGAACCTGATCTACACTCTCGTGACATCGTGCAGTCCGGCGCTGAAGAGTCTGCGCTGGTCGCTACGGAGCCCGAAGCGTTTCTTGGGTGTGCTGGCTCTTCTGTTCGTCCTGGTGGGGTGTCTGAAGATGTTGGGTGTGATCTCTTACGTGTACGACACCGCCCTGGCCGTGCTGGTGTCTCTTCGGGCTTCTCGGGACACGCTGGTCGAGGGCTCCGAGGCTCTCCAAGAGTGGGGAGTGTATGTAAACGAGTGGCTGGAGTGGGGACGGCGTGTTATGCCCTTGCAGCGTTGGTGTGCCTGGCTGGTGGCGACGGGTTAGCTTCTCGCTGGGGGGCTGCGCGAGTTCACCGATACCGACGATGGTGGACAGTCTTCGATTGGGACATCGTCTACAGGTTCGGCCCCATCGGGGTGTGCGGTGCAGCCGCCTCCCCTGCCTCCGCCCGCTGCTCCCCCTGTGCTGGGCGGCGCTCCGGCGAGCCAGCTCAGAGACCTCGCGGGGCCCCAGAAGGCTATGGCAGGGGAGGTCAACGGCTCAACATGTGGATCGCCGAGAGGAGTCGAGAGCTACGTCGGAACACACTCGAGGAGAGCGGCGGGGTGCGCAGCACCGTGGCCGAGGAGGCGAATCGCCAGGTGATCAAAGAGATGGTGAGCAGGCTCGACTGCGTGGAGACGAAGGCGCGGGGCGAACCGATTTCCAGCGAGGGCCCAGCGGGCCAAGGTGGAGGAGCTGCTGTGGAGAGCTCGCCGACGAAGGGTGCTTCTGGGTCCGCGGGTGCGCTGCTCGAGACTCCGGAGAAGAAGGCGGCGACGACGCACAGGCGGTGGAGCTTGCTATCAAACGGATGCGGTTCAAGGCTCAGTCTCCACAGCAGGTGTTCCTGAAGCCGCTGGGCGATTGCGAGGAGCAGCCCGCCGCTGGGCGACGAAGATGCCGGGCGGACACCGCGAGCGGATCGCGTCGGAGGTGCTGGCGGACATCTTCTCCGCGGGGAAGACGGCGGAGGCCTGGGCTCGGGACTTCATCCGGGACTGCGGCCTCATGGAATGCCATGCTGTTCGGGAGATGGTGGCGGCCATCGGCGCGGTGGACGCGATGTCTATGACCGACCGGCAGAAGGGCTTGCTGAATCAGGTAAGCTTCGAGCGGCTGGTGAGGAAGGGCTACGCGCTGGCGCGGGCGTACCGCGCCGCGCGCTGCAAGGGCGACTGGAGCCGCCCGAAGGACGCCAAGGCCTGGAAGACGAAGGTCGACTGGGAAGCGGGTCGCCGGCTGGACCTTCAGCTTTCGGAGGAGGGGATTCTGAGGGTGATGGGCGCAGAGAAGGAGATAAAGAAGGCTATGGTTCGGGATGAGCAGCTGATGAAGGCGCGCGCGGATCTCGGCAACTGGGGCGCGGCCCCGCCCTGAGCCGGCCAGAGCTTCAAGTGGGGTCCGCGGTGCCAGTTGTGCTGCGGGGCCCGCCCTGTCCCCCGTCGGTCTCGGGCCGCAGGGGGGCTTCCTTCAGATCTTTCGAGCGCTTGAGGTTGGGGCTCCCGGTCGAGACAGACTAGGGCCTCTGCGCCGTTGCGCGCGCGCCGAATTGGGGCTGGCATGTCGTGGCGGCGGGGCGTCGCGTCCTGTCCGAGGCGGCCCTCTTCCCCAAGCTCTATCGGCACTCGTCTTCTTCGAGGGTGGTGGCCTCGCGGTGGAGGACGGATGTGGAATTGCTGAATTGCGCGAGCCGCTGCCTCCTCGCCCTTCGCCAATTGCACCAGGAGAGCTCCAACGACGAGCTTCTCTCGGGGCGGGGAGCGGGGGGGGGCAGAGGGGGGCGCCGGAGAACGTGGGCGGGGGCCTCGCGAAGCGCGCGCTGAGCAAGGCGCGTCGGTTGCAGCCGCCGTCCGCGACGCCCTCGAGGAGCCGCGATGCTGCGGCTGCGCCCCGCCTCCTCGTCGGCGGACCACGGTCGTCAGCCCCGTTGCACCTGCGTGCAGAAGGTTGCCAGGCAGGGGGGGGGGCTCGCTGGCGGCTGCGGGGGGCTGCCGGATCGAGGCGAGATGTTTCCCGCTCAGCGGGGGCGCGTCGCCCTGCCTCCTCCTTGCTCGAGGCCAGTCAGCGCAAGGTCTGCGTCGCCCCACGCGGCGCTGAAGCTGGCGGGTTGCAAGACGGAGATGCTGAAGACGCGGGCCGCGCGATCTTCGCCCCCCGAGCATGAGCAACGCCGGCGTCAGAGCCCCGACGGGTGCCATTACTGCCCCACTGGCCGAGAACACTTCGACGCTAGTCTCCACCGACCAGAGGCGCACGAAGGCCCGTGACATGATGACGAGCGTCGTTGATGCAGAGGCGTCGGCCATGGAGCGGCGCGTTCTTGTGAACGAGCGCGCTCGCCTTCTCATGACTGGCTTCTGCGCGGCTTTCCTGCCAGCGATCCCCTGGCTCTTGTTTGTTCTGCTGGAGATGGGTTTGCATTGCGCTCTGCTACTCTGTTGGGCGGCGGTGGTGGTGGTGGTGGTGGTGGTGGTGGTGGTGGTGTGTGTGTGTGTGTGTGTGTGTGTGGTGGGGGGGGGGGGGGTGGCGCGGTGCCATCCAGATGGGCAGGGGTGCGAAGCAGGGATGGCCGCCCAGCGCCCCGCTGACGCGGTGGGCGAAGAGGCGGATGGCCAGCCACATTGCTCGCGCCCTCGCTTGTGCCGACGATTTTTGTTTCGGGCTCGCATATGCCTTCCGCTCGCTGGGCTCTGTGCTCAACGCTCCTCGCAAGTTGGGGCCTGTTACTGGCCTCCGGCTTAACTGCGAGGAATGCGCGATCTTTCTCGCTGACGACAACATGAGCAGCTCCGGGGAAACTGACTTTGAGGTTGTAGCACCAGCGCATGCCGACGAGGTCCGCGACCAATTGAAATCGATGTCCGACGGCAAGAGCGCCGGCGCAGGTGTCGTTGTAGCGGAATTGCTGAAGGAAGGCAGCGACAAGCTAATATTGGCGATTGCCGCTCTTTTCTCGGACATCCTGCAGCCGGGCGCGGAGTTGCCAGAGCACTGGAGGCACTCCCGTCTCAAAGTCTCATTCTAAGAAGGGGCTCCAACATCGGTCGACAATCGCCGCCCGATTGCGACATTTCCGATTGCATATAAACTTCTCAGCCGCGTGGTGCTCGGAAGGGTCAGGGGCGCATTGCCGCGGGGGCAGTCAGTTGACCAGACGGGATTTCGTGCTGGATATTCTTCCGACGACCCTATTTTTGTTGTCGCTCTGTTGTCGGAGGTATTTCGCGAATTGCAGGCGCCGCCGTGTCTTGTGGCCATTGATTTCCCGAAGGCTTTCGACCCCCAGAACCGCGATTGTTGGCGGGCGGCGCCGCGTGAACAGAGGGCGCCTTCTATCGGAGCGTGAGTTACCCACGACGCTTTCGCTTCCAGGCAAAACCAATCCATGCCGCGCGCCTCCTCGCCGAGCGGCCTGGCCAGTACAGGCTGCAATTTGGCGTCGTTTGGTATCTCTTGGAAGCGCGGGTGGTCGAAAGCGAGGTAGGTTTGTTTTCCCCCTATTCTACGTGTATATATATATGCGTGCTGCAACGTATTCACCGAGGACAGTCGTGCGAAGCACAGAGCGATCGGGCAAGCAAATCTTTTGAAATACGGCGGGGCGTGAGACAAGATGGCCCTATTTCCCCACTTTTGTTCAGCGCCGCTCTGGGGAAGCTCGCGCGCGGACTTCGAGGCAACTGGCAGCAGCGCCAGCGGGGCGCTGAGACATACAAGTCGCGCAGAATGGCAAACTTACGTTTTGCAGGTGACCTGATGCCGGCGGCCGGTTTGTCTTATCTGGCAAAACATACGCTGGGCGATCTAATGCGCAAAGCCAAAGAATTCTGATTAGAGGTACAAGGGGATAAAACAAAGATTACGCGGGGCTGCTTTGGCCGGGGAGCTTCGGCAACCAATGCGCATGTGCAGTCGCGCACCTTGGAAGCGCTGCCCGGCGACGCGGCAGCGATGCATGTGGGAAGGCTTCTAAGTTGGACAAATACCCAAGACGTTGAGCTGAAGAACGGGGCTGCGAAAGCTTGGGCTAAGTTTTCAGCGTGCCAGGGCGAGCTGACTGACTGGTGTTATCCTTGATCGCAACGGGTGCGACTATTTGGTTCCGTCGTTCAGCCTACCTTTCTCTATGGTTGTTCTTCTTGGACATTGACATTGAAGCGCGAGTCCGCAATCGACCGGCTGCAAGGGAAAATGTGCGATTGGTCGCTGGTGTGAAAAGGCGCGTCGTTATTGATTCGGGGGGCGGGAAGAGTTTGGAGGGCTGGGTTAGCTGGATCGTGCGCTCGACACGCGCAGCAGTCAAGGTCAGCCAGGAGCACGGTGTTCGCAATTGGGTGGAAGAGGTTTCAAGGCGAAAGTTTCGGCGGGCAGGGCGCGCTGCCCGTCGGGGCGACTGCCGCTTGACGAAAGTGATGCTAGTTTGGTCCTTGACAGGTTGCAGAGCACAGGCGCGGCCGCTTGCGCAGTGGCGCGACAGCCTTGGCAAGTTTTTCACCGGCGAGGCAGGCAGGCCTGTTGGCGCTTCCTCGTGGATTACGGCGGCAGAAATTTGGGGTACTTGGAGGCTGCTGGAAGATGATTGCGCTGAGTTCTGTAAGCGGTGAGGGCGGCAGCCGCGGCTGCCATCTGTCGAGCCCTGTTTGGGGGCACGTGGCAACGTGCGACGCGCGCTGTCCGTGCTCGACTTGCTTGCTCGCTTGCTTGCTTGCTAACCTTGACCTTCTTTTGTCCGGGGATTTGATCGCGGCCCTCCGCGGCGACTTTAAAAGGATGCAAGCGGTAATGGGTACTGAATATCTCGGGGTGTCTATCGGGCTTGAGTCTCATCGTGATGCGCGGAGAGAAGCTACCCCGAAATTCATGGCTCGCGTGGGCACTGCGAGACATACGGGGCTAGGACTTGCGAGCGCTGCTGTTGCGTTCAGAGTGATGTGTGCGTCGGTCTTACTCTTCTTACTCAAGGTTCACCCGGTGTCGCGCGAGCTCTTGCGATGCTTCCTTGAATGTGCGATGCGCTTGACGGCTTGCCTCGTGGCGCGTTCCCGCGCCCCCTGTGCGCGCAGCTGAAGCAAGTTCTTTTGCTCGTCCAGTTTCAAGAGTCATCGTGTCTCGCTCGTGCAACCTGTCTGCGCTGCATGATTATAGGAACGACGGGGCGGGGGCGGCATTCGAGCGCCTTCGTCGGCTTGAATAACATGAATAACATGTCTCCGATCGCACGAGGCCGGGGTAGTGGAAGGGTAGCTTCCTCTCGCGAACGGGCGATCTTCGCGCCTGGTTTCACAGGGGTCCGCGCGCAGTTGATTGCACCGCTGGCAAGCTGCAAACTCGTCTGCACGACTACCTTGCATCTTTCTATCACAAGGCTGAGGATCCGAGGAGCATTCTTTTCCGAAGGGCGCAGGCTTGCTTCCCAGAGATTCGTCAGACACATTTTGATCGTTTCTTCCTGAGTGCCCTCTTCGCGGCACAATCGCAACCCGGCATGATTGTCGGGGCCCTGAAATTCTGCCGTCGTGGATTGCGCACGTCTCGCCGCTTTGAAGCTTTGTCTGCTGGGCGTGCTCTGGGGTGTCAAGATGGCGGCTGTTCAGACCTTGACTCTGTTGAACTTTACGCGCGAACATCATGACCGATGTCTTCGTCTCGCGTCTCTCTTCACATGTTGACTCGACCTTTTCGTCTTCGCGGTGGCCTGAGGGTTCGCCCTGGTCGCCCCCCTTTTACCTGCTTTCACCGTCGCCGATGTCGTCGAATATTATCTTTGCTGCCTGCGTCGACGCTTTCATTTCTCATCGCATTTGCCGCCGCCTCAGGGCGCCGGGCCCGCCCGCGGCAGCATTTCGAGGTCCGCTTCAGGGTCGATGCTCGCCGTCGCAGACGTACTGCCTGCGCCCGGCGTCGTCGGGCTGCGTTTTGGTGTTGTTGCTGTGTGTGTGAATGTGTGAATGTGTGAATGTGTGTGTGTGTGTGTCTCTCTCTCTCTCTCTCTCTCTCTCTCTCTCTCTCTTTTTTTCTCTTTCTCTTTCTCTTTTTTTCTCTCTCTCTCTCTCTCTCTCTCTCTCTCTCTCTCTCTCTCTCTCTCTCCCTCTCTCTTGTTTTTCTTCTCTCTCTCTCTATATATATATGTCTTTCTTTATTTCTCTCTCTCTCTCTCTCTCTCTCTCTCTCTTTTCCGCATTCTCCTCCCCCTCCTCATGTCCTCCAGTGCTGAGTGCGCGCGCTCCTCCTGGGCGCTGGCCCCTGCTCCGCGGCTGCGCCTGTTTAACGTCGGCGCCCGTTGCCCCCTGGGCGCTTCGCACCGCGGTGGCGCAGGCGAATGGGCGAGCTTGCAGGCGGGGGGAAGACGGAGCACGCAGTGCTCTATTCAACAGAATTACCCGGGCGACGTGCCCAACCCTTGCGCAAAAGCGGGGCGCAAATAGTTTAGGATACTTTATAAGGGGGCGATGGCGGAGCGAGGGTTGCATATGTCTGCAGACGGAATTCGGGAGACTCGCTGGACACTGGCTACAGGAAAAGGGCTTGATAAAGCTGATGAGTTACAATTCCTGGGCACTCCTAGCCACTTCGAAAATGGTGATCACAGCAGGCCTCGAAAGTGGCGACAGTTTCACAGATCGCAGCCCCGCAGGGATGGCGAGGTCTAATTTGGGTCCGCGCGTGGCGTCACTGTGCCGGGCCCCCCAGCAGGCCTCGAAAGTGGCGACAGTTTCACAGATCGCAGCCTCCAGGGGATGGCGAGGTCTCATTTGAATCTGCCCGTGGCGTCACTGCGCCGGGCCCCTCAGCAGGCCTCGAAAGTGGCGACAGTTTCACAGATCGCAGCCCGTTTGAATATGCCCGTGGCGTAACTGTGCAGGGCCCCCCAGCAGGCCTCGAAAGTGGCGACAGTTTCACAGATCGCAGCCCCCCCAGAGATGGCGAGGCCTAATTTGAATCCGCGCGTGGCCCTCACTGTGCTGGGCCCCCCAGTAGGCCTCGAAAATGGCGACAGTTTCACAGATCACAGCCCCCCAGGGATGGCGAGGTTTCAGAGGAATCTGCCCGTGGCGTCACTGTGCTGGGCCCCCCAGCAGGCCTCGAAAGTGGCGACAGTTTCACAGATCGCACCCCCCCAGGGATGGCGAGGTCTAATTTGAATCCGCGCGTGGCCCTCACTGTGCTGGGCCCCCCAGCAGGCCTCGAAAATGGCGACAGTTTCACAGATCGCAGCCCCCCAGGGATGGCGAGGTCTAATTTGAATCTGCCCGTGGCCCTCACTGTGCTGGGCCCCCCAGCAGGCCTCGAAAATGGCGACAGTTTCACAGATCGCAGCCCCCCAGGGATGGCGAGGTCTAATTTGAATCTGCCCGTGGCCCTCACTGTGCTGGGCCCCCCAGCAGGCCTCGAAAATGGCGACAGTTTCACAGATCGCAGCCCCCCAGGGATGGCGAGGTCTAATTTGAATCCGCGCGTGGCCCTCACTGTGCTGGGCCCCCCAGCAGGCCTCGAAAATGGCGACAGTTTCACAGATCGCAGCCCCCCCAGGGATGGCGAGGTCTAATTTGAATCTGCCCGTGGCCCTCACTGTGCTGGGCCCCCCAGCAGGCCTCGAAAATGGCGACAGTTTCACAGATCGCAGCCCCCCAGGGATGGCGAGGTCTAATTTGAATCTGCCCGTGGCCCTCACTGTGCTGGGCCCCCCAGCAGGCCTCGAAAATGGCGACAGTTTCACAGATCGCAGCCCCCCAGGGATGGCGAGGTCTAATTTGAATCTGCCCGTGGCCCTCACTGTGCTGGGCCCCCCAGCAGGCCTCGAAAATGGCGACAGTTTCACAGATCGCAGCCCCCCAGGGATGGCGAGGTCTAATTTGAATCTGCCCGTGGCCCTCACTGTGCTGGGCCCCCCAGCAGGCCTCGAAATGGCGACAGTTTCACAGATCGCAGCCCCCCAGGGATGGCGAGGTCTAATTTGAATATGCCCGTGGCCCTCGCTGTGCTGGGCCCCCAGCAGG